GCCCCCGGCTGGATGGACATGCTATCTTGTGCAGCTGGCTGCTCAGAGAGAAAGCCCTGTCCTTCAGGCTCTCTGCTTATTGTGTCTGCCTGCCCTCACGCCTGGAGGTAGGAGAAAAAGAGTCTCTCTGGGTTCACATAGAACCAATTCCAGGTGCATCTGAATGATAAATACCCTTTATTGTGTATCTTTTAGGCTTACAAAAATGAGAATGACTTGGATCTCATCACTAAAAACATCCATTACTGGGGGTTATCTTCATCAGCTTCCCTTACTATAACAAAATACCTGAGATAGGGATGGATTTAGTGGTAGAGCTCTCATCCAGCATGTCCAAGGCCCTAGGTTTGATCTCCAACATTGGAAAAAAAACAAAAAAACCCAGAAACAAACAAACAAAACAACAACAAAAAACCACCCCAAACACTGAGATAATTAACTTATGAAAGGAAGAAGTTCATTGAGCTCATGATTTTGGGAGGCTCCAGTAGATGATCGCGCCATTGCTTTGGGCCTCTGGTGAAGGTATTGGTGGCAACGGGGAAGGGGATGGTGTGTGTCTGAGTGAAACTTCCAGGAAACAGAAAAGAGAGACAGGAAGGCACTGTGGTCCCCCAAAGACCTAAGGAAGTCCCACAAAGCCTCTTGTCTTCAAGGGTCTATCATCTCCCAGAAGCCCCACCCTGGAGACCAAACATCGGAAGGGGGCATTCAACCTCCAAGACATAGCAAGGCATAATTGGGTGTGGTGTGATAGAGGCACCAGCTCTGGGTCTTGGGATTCCCTTGGTTCATCTTTCTGCCTCGCTGGACAACATCCAGAGGAAGAGAGAAGGCCTCTTCTGGCAGCTACTTCTTCAGCACCATGAGGTAATGTTTCCAGAAACATCCAGCGAACGTCTCCTCATATCTCATGGACTCAAAACTGGTTGGCAATCCTTTGTAAAACCACTCTATGTCCAGGGAAATGCCACGCGTGATTCGTTCAGGCTGAGTGCTGAGCCAGTCCATGGCAAGAAGATACAAATATCCTTGGGCCAATCAGTCCAACCCCTGGCACTGGGAACCAGGCTGAGTGAGGAGATGGGACCTTCAGTACAAGCTGGGATACTCCTCAGAAGGAAGAAGTGTGTTCTGGGTAGGAAACCCCTGAAAAGCACTCTGCCTGGTTCTGTGTCTGACCTGAGGTGTCTCCGTCATTTCAAATTCTGTTGGAAATTCCCCCTGACTGCAAAGCTGAGGTTCCAGAACTCCCTTTAGGTCTTTGCAGTTTTCTCAGCTATTTCATCACACTGGCAGCCTAGAGGCTTTTCAGACACATAAACACATTGGGCCTCACATCGCAGAAATCTATCATTGATTTCTAATTTCATTCCATTATGATCTAAGGCAGAGTAGTATCTCTATTTTTTTTTATATTTGCTAAGAGTTGCTTTATGGCATAGTATATGGTCTATTTTAGAGAAGGAATCCACCTGCTGCTGAGAAGAAAGTATATTCTCTCATTGAAGGTTGGAATATTCTATATATGTGAGTTAAGTCTAAATTATTGATTGTATTATTGACTTCTGTAGTTTCTTTGTTCAGCTTTTGTTTGAAAGATCTATCTAGTGATGAAAGAGGTATGTTAAAGTCACCCAAAATTATTGCATTGTGGTCTATTTGACTCTTGAACTTAAGAAGAGTTTGTTTGATGAATGTAGAGTCTCCGTTGTTTGAGGCATATATATTTATAATTGTTAAGTCTTGTTGGTGTATGGTTTTCTTTAACAGTATGTGGTGTCCTTCTTTATTCCTTTTGATTGACTTTAGCTTGAAGTCTACTTTATTTGATATAAGGATGGAAACCCCTTCTTGTTTCTGCAGTCCATGTGACTGGTATGATTTTCCCAACCCTTCACCTTCAGTCTTTTTCTGAGACAAGGCTCTTGGACACAAGAGCATATTGTTGGGTCTTTTTTTTTTTTTTTTATCCAATCTGCCAGTCTATGTCTTTTGATTGTTGAATTTAGGCCAGTAACATTCAGGGTTATTATTGAGACATGATTTGTATTCCCAGCCATTTTTGTTTATTTTTGGTATTTAATGTGACTTGTGGTTTCTCCTCTGATTAGATTTTCCTTTACTGTAATCCCTCCCTCTGCTAATTTTCATCATTGTTTTTAATTTCCTCTTCTTGGAATATTTTGCTGAGGATGTTCTGTAGTGCAGGTTTTCTAGTTGTAAATTCTTTTGTGTATCATGGAAGGTTTTTATTTTATCATCAAATCTAAAGCTTAGGTTGCTGGATATAAGATTCTTGGTTGGCATCCATTTTCTTTCAGAGCTTGGTATATGTTGTACAATCTCCTGGCTTTGGGGGTCTGGGTTGAAAAATCTGAGATACGGGTTGGTCTCCCCCTATCTGTGATCTGATTCCCCTCTCTTGCAGCTTTTAAGATTCTATCCTTATTCTGTATGCTAGGCATTTTTATTATAATATGCCTTGGTGTAGAACTGTTGTAATTTTGTACATTTGGTGTCCTGTAACCTCTTCTATTTGGTTTTCCAATTTGTTCTTCATGATTGGGAAATTTTCTGATATTATCTCATTGTAGAGATTGTGCATTCCTTTGGCTTGAAACTCTGTGCCTTCCTTTATCCCAATGACTCTTAGATTTGGCCTTTTGATGCTGTCCCATAATTCTTAGATATTCTATTCATGGTTTCTAACTTTCTTCACTGTGTGATCAATTTTATTTTCCAGATTGTATACTTTGTCTTCATTATCTGATGTTTATTCCAAGTGATCTAGTCTGTTGGTTATGCTTTCTATTGAGTTTTTTGATTTATTGTATCATTCATTGGAAGGATTTCTGTCTTTTTTTTTTCCCCCACAGTCTCTCTCTCTCTCTCTCTCTCTCTCTCGGACTAATCTTTTGCTACTTGTATTTGCTCTTATCTCATTGTTGGAAGGATCAATTTTTGCTTGTATTTGCTCATTTAGGTCATTCTTTAATTCAAAGATTATTTTACTTATTTACTTTTTGAGAGAGAGAGAGAGAGAGAGAGAGAGAGAGAGAGAGAGAGAGAATTTTAATATTTATTTTTTATTTTTCGGCAGACACAACATCTTTCTTTGTATGTGGTGCTGAGGATCAAATCCGGGCTGCACGCATGCCAGGCGAGCGCGCTACCGCTTGAGCCACATCCCCAGCCCAAGATTATTTTAATTATGAATCTCTGAACTGCTTCTCTGACATTTCATCAACTTCACTGATATTATGGGTTCTGATATTACAGTGTCCTGGTTTGTTTGGGGGCCCTTTCCTCCCTTGTTTTTTTTTATGTTGTCTATGTGTCTGCCTTTCTTGCAGTGTGGATCCGAGATGTTACAGTTTCTTTCCTATATTTTTGTGGTACCTGTGCAGAATGTCTTCACCTCACCTTGATGTTGGGCTTCCAGACCCTGCTGGTGTCCCTCAATAAATGCTACTACATCCTGGATCTGGGTCCTGCTTAAGTTGGAATGGGTGGGTCTGGGCCGCTGGGCTTGACCTCCTGTGGTAGTCTGCTGGTTGGAAGGGGAAGTCCTGCACCAAAGGCTAGACTTTGGTGGTGTCTGACCTGCTTGTGGAGGAGTGAATCAGGACCACTGAGAGCAGGGATCCCGGGTAGGTTGGAGTGGGTGGATCTGGGCAGCTGGGATTACAGGTGGCTTATAGTACACTTTAATGTTCTAATATGTAAAAATATATCACAACTTGAAAAGTTTAGTAATTATCTGTGTATAATTGGTTTTCTTTGGAATCATATGTATATATATCTATATTGTCTTTAAAAGCATTCTGAAAATCAGGATAGCTTCCGCAGACGGCTAAAGAGATCCATGTCAGTGCTCCTGTCAGTGGTCAGGAGCTGGGATTAACTACGTGATAAGCATGAGTTGGTGGGTCGGGGTAGAGCTCAGTGGTAGAGCACTTGCCTAGCATGTGTGAGGCACTGGGTTTGATTCTTAGCACCACATATAAATATGTAAAATAAAGGTCCATTGACAACTTGAAAAAGAACTGCTGTTGCTAAGTACTTGTCCATCTGCTCTTTTTTTAATTTTTTAACATTTATTCTGATTTGTTATACATGATGGCAGAATGCAATTCATTTTATATTATGCATGTAGAACAATTTTTCAAGACACTGGTTATACACAAAGTATTTTCACACCATTCATGTCTTATATATGTACTTAGGGTAATGATGTCTAACTCATTCCACCATCATTCCTATCCCTCTTGCTCCCTCCTCTCTTTCCCCCTCCCTCCCCTTATATCCATCTGCTTTTGTCATGTGTCTACAACAAAATAGTCCTGAATGGCAATCATATTAGCTTCTGGTTCTTACCCACAACTCTCCCCCTTCCACTAGCTGTTTTAGGATACTTTTGCTAGGTTTAGAAATCCTCATACTGAAGCCCAGCTGCTAATATTGAAACTTCCAAGAATGTATAATTCGTTACCATGCTTATTTGTGTTGATCTAAATCATAGGACATCAAAATCCTCCAGACATCAGCAACAAATACAATTGCTGTTTTAGTGAGTTGCCATGTTATTGGGGAACACTCTAGATAAAGAAACAACATCCGTGACAGCTTCCCAGTCTGAATTGTGTTGGACAGCAGGAATTCTGTTTGATTCTGCTGAAATCTATTTAATAAATTTAGATTATTTGAGCTAAATGATTTTTGTGTCATAGTGGACCACAGATTGTAAAGACATACCGTTAGATACATGTAACACCAAATGTAATTGAATAAATATGGCTTTTAAGAAATATTATACTTAGATATAAGTTGATGGAAAGGCAGAGGGAAAACCTTCATAAAAAACCCTAATATCCAATTATATGAGGACAACTTTCTGTTTGAATCCTAAGGTCTTGCATATTTAAGATAAGTAATTTATGAGGATATGCACCAGGAACTATATGGCTCAGTTAAAAATGAAGAAGTTTCAAATACAGTGTGGTGAAAATGGTGAAGTCATTTTTATTTTCAGTGCTTTGACAAAATACCCCATAAAATTCAAAACTTCTACCATTATACAAAAATAGGTGTCTACAAGTGATATCTTCTGTCTTCATCACCAGTAGCAAATATATTAGGCAGAAACATGTAATTTCAGTAGCCTTAAATGGAAAGTGCAGGACACTGCAAGCTACACATTCAGCAGTATCATATTGGCAAAAGTTTAATCTTTTCACCCATTTGATAAATACACAAGGTTTATAATTTAATCATTTAAATTAACATTCTGCAAATATACATGTAATTTAGTGATCACTGTGCATGAATACATACACAATGCTTGTATGTACAAATTCCAGTTTGTTTTCATGTGCAAGAGATCTGATACAATCATAAGCTGTGTTTGTTTTGGTCCCATTAAATATTCACAATATAAAAGCACAAAAGAATCTTCGATTTACAAAAGAGAATTTGTTTAAAATCACTTCAACTTTTGATGTTTTTAAAGTATTATCTTCTCATACCACTATGAAATGTAGTAGTTGAACCTGTAAGAGAAAAACAAGACATTTTGCATGATTTTAAATTAGATTGTTCTATATAAATTAGCTGGTATAGATAACAAAAAGATTACTCTTAACTCTCCATCAGAAAAAATGCCCTTTGTTCCTTAAACATCTTATTCATAGTTCAACTGATTTTTAAAGAGATTTCAACTATATTTACAAGTCATCAAGAGTGGTTCTAAAGCAAGGAAGCGAGACTCATGCTAATATAAAATGTTCTAAAGGTTGAAGTTCTATATATTTTTAGTATATCCTAAAAAATATTTTGGTCTTCAGATTCTGGGTCTTGTGAAATTTGGATGCTTAAAACAAAACAAACCTTTAACCAACAAACAGACTTCAACTATAATAATGAGAGTTTCCTAGTACTACAAGTTGCTTGTGTTAAACAGTGAATTTTTTGAATGAATGAAGAGATAACTACTAACTCAAAATAATCTGATATTAGTCCAGTTTGTGGGACTAGTAGGAAAAGAGAATCATTAATAAAAGTTTAAAAAAAAACTGTAAAAGTAGACTGAATACAATCAGTTAAACTAAAATGATTCAAAATCTCTGGATCAGAAGTGAACTAAAGGAAGACAGGGAAAAGAAGTTTTCTCATAATGAATAGAGAATCCACTTCTGTTATCAAGTATGATATTGATATTTTTGAGGAAAGAAAAGTAAAAGATCATTGTTAGGATTTTTTTTTGGATCACTCTTAAAAGCACCATGCAGTAGTAGGGATAATGGTTGTACTAAGTGCTCAATCCTCTTCCTCACCAGTATCTGTAGGCCTCACCACTTTCTACCATGCATTACCTCAGAGCACCTTCCCACATTAGTCTTCAATCATGTGTTTTCTATGAGCAATCTACTGAATGAAGAGATAGTAGGGGAATTATTTGGGGGTGGGCAGGATTTGAGGTGATAAATCATGTCTTGAATACTCTAAAGTTAGTTGTGCTGCTGGTTACACAGTTTAAGCTTTCAAAATGAGGAGAGCTGTGGGTCTAGCACTATGGCACTACCAATAAGTGGTTAAACTTAAGCACCTGTCTGTACAGTTCCAAGTCTTCTTTGTAGTGCCTCTAGCCGAGTGATATAATCTGCCAGGGCTCTATCAGGATCATAATTCTGAAGGTGAGAGCACGCTGTGGAACCAGGATTTAAATCAGCTAGGGTGCCTGGGGACCTAAGGATTAAAAGCAATGTACATGAACCAAATTACCCAGAAACAATGCAATCACATTACACACCTGCCTCCTCCCCCACCCCCGAAAGGCAGGCCACGTACATATTATATGATCTATATGCCCCATGCTTCTAAGTTTGGGATGGGAAAGAAATTGGTCTTCAATAAATTCAAAGAAGCTAGGGCTTCATGAAAATGCCAAGTATAAAACCTGTCAGTTTGTCAGTAAGTGTTGGATATGTAAAAATGCATCTGTCATGCAGACTAACATTTTCTCTAACAGCCAGGGACTTATCAATTTTAATCAACACTTTTTCCAATGTCTAACTCTTGCATATAGTAAGCAACATTTGATCAGCTCTGTTTCCTTTAACCTTAGAAACCATTTACAAATTTAAAAACTAGCTTTGATTCTGGGCCATAGGTTAAACAAATTACAACTAAACATGTCCATCTGCCAGAGTCCTATCAGTGTCCATCTTTCTCTGTTAAATATTAATACATTTAATTCTTACCTATTTTGAAACGGTAAAAGGCACCTAGGAGAATCCAGATCTGATCTTGAGCGGTATGTTGTATGTCTTGGTTCTCCATCTAGCTCTAGTTCACCAGAAGAATGATAAAATGGGTCAGTCTTTTCAGCACCTTAATGTAATGCAAGATGTTAAGAAACAAAGCAAAACACAACAAAAACTAAAAACCAAGCCCTTGAACATTTCTACAAAACAGTATTATACCATGTGAATATAGTGTACTATACCATGCTGTCTTACTTAAAAGACCTCAATCTTAGGGTTTCTGAATGTGTTATCATTTGGGGGAAAAAATAATGTGGATAAGAAAAATTAGACTAATGTAACCAGATCATTTATGACTCCACTCTCCTTTTATAGGAAAAAAATTGCAATCAAGATTTGCTAATTTTTGGTATGACACAGATAAAAATTTCTCAGTGCAAGCATTTATATTTCAAAATACTTTCATGGAAATTTCCCTTTTCTCTGCTGCTAAACTGTTGGTAGAATATCTCCAGGTAGATTCTCTGTACTCTGTGCTCTCCCGCTTTTGACCTCATCCTTATATCCCAAATGTTCAAGCCCTAATGTTCTTTCTACTTCATTCTAGGTGTAGAGAGAAGGAATTTTAACTGTTCTTATTTTTATACAATGTAGTAGTAAACTCAAATGATTTGAGTATTATTAGATCATGAAAACGTCAAACCATAACCGTTTTACATGACTAATAGCTATTCTCTCTTGAACCGAGAGCCTTAAGTGCCCCTACTGGGTAATCTGGGACAAATACCATGTGTTTTCCAGTGCTAAATTTTTCATCTGTAAAGTGAGAATAATAGTAATTGTGATTACATCAAATTGGCAGAATATATGAAAAAAGCAGGGCTTAGTGTAGACCAGTGCTCCATAAAAATCAGCAATTCTTACTCTCTTTAAAACAATGAAGTCCCTAACCTTGTTAGTTATAAGCTCCTTTATCTTTGGAAAACACTGGCTCCAGAATTTGCTATTTGGAAGATATTACATTTTCAGTAATTTTAGAGGGCTGTAAATGTAGAAAAATGCTATTTTGACTTTACCTGGATTCAGTTCAAAGCCATCCCTGTTAACATTGGTGGAACTAGAATCTGTGACTTGCTGCCACCGTTGAACCAAAATTTTCATTCTAAAAAAAAGATTCCAAGATAAGACATCACAGCATATCTATAAAGATCATAAAATACACCTTCTACAAAAATTATTTAAATATGAACACAGAATAAGATTTCAACATAATCACAATTTCCTAATCCAAAACTATGTACATGTGCCTGGGTTGATGGCAAAATTAACTGGAACAGAAGAACACAGTTGTAAGCTCCCCTCACTTCATTTCCAAGGGGAAGCAGAGGTCTTTGGTGTTACCAGAATCAGGTTCTAGCTTTACGGATTAATGAGACAGGAAGAGATGGAGGGCAAAACTACACAGAAAGAAAGGAGCCGCAGGAAACAGAACAGTGGATGAAAGGCAGATGAGAGGAAAAAAAGAATAGAAGGACCCATAAGAGGGAGCTGGAGGATGGGTGAGGCCATGTGACCAGGAACAAAAAACAATGCTGGCTTTAAATGAATGGGGGCATTAATGTCATCATATAGCTGCATTAGGTTTGCTGCATGGCCCATCTTGGCTTAGAGAGCTTTCTGGAGTGCCAGGGCTCTGTCAGGATCATAATTCTGAAGGTGAGAGCACGCTGTGGAACCAGTGTGTTTCAAGACTCAATTTTAAGAGAGTCAAAATATAAGTCTCCCCAAATTCCTCTAATCAAAATGACTGGCTAACTCCTGAGACTTCACATGAGTGTCCCCCAAGTTCTGTGCATATGGCCCTTCCCCAACAGAAAGTGAGCTGTCTTTGGATTTTAGGCAGGTATTACATCTTTTTCATCCATGTATCTGCCAGTGCTTATCCTTTGTTTGCCAGACACAAGGTGATGTTGGGAATGAGAAGTGGGAAAGGAGAAACTGGAGTGTGAGACTACAATAAGGAGAAGAGGCAGGCACGGTGGAAGACAAACAGGTTAGACCTGAGCTGCTTTTAGAGAGCCAGCATGGGTGCAATAGAGAGACCAGGCTAATTGTGCCTACTGGGTTTATAACCCCTCCTTGTCCCCTTTTTCTCATTTGTGAACTGACATTTGGAACTAAGGAAACTCAAGTTTCCAGTTTAAAAACACAGAAACAAAAGCAAAACTCATATTTTTCAGAAGAAAAAAAAAAAAAAAGCAAAATCCTTTGAAGAAGCATCAAATGTGACCTGACAAGAACTACTTTAAGAAACAAAATTCCTTTGGGACTCTGCTGAGTTTCAGAGAAATAAAAAGGAGGGTACACATGGAGAAGCCTAAGTGTCTGAGTGATCTTTTAAAAATTTATTTTATTTTTTTAGTTGTAGATGGACACAAACCTTTATTTTTATGTGGTGCTGGGGATCAAACCCAGTGCCTCATACATGCTAGCCAAGCGCCCTACCACTGAGCCTCAGCCCCAGCCCCTGATTATCTTATCTACTAGTTAGATTAGAGGACAGTAGTAGTTCAGGACTACAAGGTAGTTTCAACCACATACGGAATGAATGCCAAAGTTCCTAGCTTGGAACTACTAGGAAAAGAGTGACAAAAGCACTAGCAGAATCCCTGAAGGCCAACCTTGGACCTGAATGCAGAGGTAGACCAGGGCTTTCCAGAGCTGGGTACAAAAACAGGTTATTTTAGTAGGAAAGGAAGACAGATGTCTGCCAGCCTAAGGTGTGATTTTTCAAAAAAACTTTTCCTTTTTATGATATCTCTTATGTCTATGTATGTATAAGCTAGTTCATAGGTCTATTCAAATTAAAAAATGACAATTGGACTGGATGTGCCAGCTTGAGTCACCAGCTGCATGTACCTAAGAAGGCCCTTTCCAAAGGGTATATTTACACAGTACAGAATAAAGAATCCCTGCTAAAAGGATGAAAACCCAGAGAGAAAGTTATATTTTAGGGATGGCAAAGAAATACTATACAAACTTTTTTTCCCTCCCTATGGTACTGGAGATTAAATCCAGAACTGCTCTACCACTGAGCCATATCCCCAACCCTTTTTTGCTTTTTATTTTGACATAGTGTCTCAATAGGTTGCTGAGACTGGCCTCAAACTTGCAATGCTCCTGCCTTAGCCTTCTGAGTAGCTAGAATTACAGGACAAACATCCCTTTAGAGGGTCTCTGAATAAAATCAATTTTCTTTCAAGAACTTTACCGTGAAATTGCAATGGACGCTCTGACAGCTGAACGAAATCTGGCTAAGCCCTTTGGGCGGCTGATGAACTCCAGATTGGTGAAGGCTGGCTGACCCCGCATCCAGGCAAGGAGCGTTATGGTGGCATCCTCACATTCTTGGAATTCGCCCAATAATTGCAGCAGGTATTTCTTATGATAAATGAGAGGTTTACGAAAACTTTCTGCCCTCAAGTATTGACCATAAGTCCTCTACATTTAAAGAAGGGAAGAACATAAAGTCATTATTAAGAAGTCATTCAAATTGTTCTCTAGGGGATGATTATTACCTAGATTAAAAAAAAAAAAAAAGCAGTTGTAGGATGGCAGGTACTGTTTTTAGCTTCATCAGCAAAGTTGAAGGTTAATGTAACTTTAACCATTATAACTTTGCCACTTTGTAGTCAATGGTATGTAAATATTATAGTTATGGTTTTAGTTTGAGTTTTTTAGCCCCTGTTCATGATATTATTGTAAATATTTTTGTCTTCCTATTATCATTTGTGTTTTCTTATGTATAGAGCTATCTTTTTCATCTGAGAATTTTTAAAATTTCATGGAGCTATTTTATTATTGTGGTCACGCATCTATTTAGCTTTTTAAATAAGCCAATTATTCTGTTACTGTATGAGTCATAAATTTATGTTTATTCCATAATCAGAATAAATATTCCCAATACTTTTCTTTCTCTTTATTTTGGATTTTACATTAAGTGATTATGCAATATTAATCTCTACACATTAGAGAGGCTACTCCAAGGGCTTCCCATCTTAGGGCACAATGTTCTTACACTGACAGTAGCAGTATGTTTGTAAGGAATTGAAAAGACAACAGTACTGTTTGTCTATTGAGATAGAAACTGTGGGCGGAAGGACAACCAGCTCTGGGTGTTGACACCGTGATTGAGCTTAACCTGTTACCAGTCCTCCCAGAAGAGGCATGCCTCTTCACAAACCTTCTGTGACATGCTAGAGACCTTGCAATCACAACACACTGAATGGCCTCCGGAGACAACCTGAGCGCCACCCACATTTCTTTAGTCTGTTTGAGTAAGGGCAGAGAGATGAAAAAAAGGCAAAAAATGGAGGACTATCATTAGAAGGAAGATGTCACCTACCTTTAGTGAGGTATTTTCAGAATCAGAGTTCAGATTCTGAAGTAAAGTGTCATTTCTCAGTTCAGCTTTCAGTTTATATACTTCAGCTTCCGTTTTTTTTAAGGTTTTCTGAAGAGCTGATTTTTCCATGATCCATATTTCTTCTTCAGAAGCAATAATGGCTTCAAGGTTGGCATCACCACAGAATAAAAACCTAGAAGACTGAAGAGACAACAGCCCACTTATATAATTTCCTGCCCTTGTTGGTGGTACCAGGGCTTGAACCCAGAGGCACTCTACCACTTTAATCATGTCCCTAGCCCTTTATATTTTGTTTTGAGACAGGGTCTAAGATGCTGAGGTTGGCCTCAAACTTGTAATCCTCTTGCCTCAGTCTCTGAATTACTAGCATCATAGGTGTGTGCCACAGTGCCCAACTACTTACATAAAGAACATATCTCTGAAGAAAAAGCTGAATTAAAGATATTAAAAGTACCCCTATCATGGATATCTAGTCTTAGTTTCCATCCTCAAAGTCAATCTCAGCTGGTATTAAAAAATATTTACTCACTCCAAGTATATGGTCATTTTGCTGAGTAGATTAGCTTTACCCCTAAAAGTCCTTGGTGAAAGCCTAGCCACAGAAAAGGTTTATCAGATCTAGCAGAGCTTTTACTAAAAATGTTGAGAGACTTAAGAGATGGACATGGGGGTCCAAATGTGGAGCCCTTACTAGAGAAATGGAGATACTGAAATATATAATTTCAAAGCATCTTCCACTTGAGTCATAAACACAGTAAGTGGTAAATAATGAAGACAACAGTGAGGATTCACATTGAACATTTCTCTACACATGTCTGCTGACAGTCAATACTGTATCTGTCTTTGGAGATTCACAGACGTAGATTGGATTATGACTTAAGGTCAGTTTTCTCAGAGTCTGGTACAGAGACGGCTCCCTCAACAAAATAATAGCTATTAATATTACAGTCATCCCTATAAAAATTTCCACAGATCCTCCTACACAACTGACCTGATGCTTTTACATTCAGGGTTAAGAACCAAAATTAGATAGCAGAAACTGTAACTTGGCACTACTTCTAAAATGACGTACATAATCTCCACCAGTTCCTGTCTGTTGACAGCGCCTCAACTGCTCTTCCATCTTCACGACTACATTCCTCAAATTATTCTTTTCTTCAGTCAGTTGGCTGATATGTCCTGTCAGTTCAGTATTTTGTCTGAGTAGTCTTTCAGTCAATGAACACCCAGAAGTACCTGGTAATACTAAGGTAGGCTGAAAAAATAAAATGGATGTTAGATCACACAAGCACAAATATATGTGAAAGTGTGACGAGGCACGGAGAGCAATAGATTTCACAAACTGTTGCTTGGTTAAATCATAGAAATTTAGCAAGCAAGAAAAAAATCTAGTAAACAGAAGGAAAGGCACATATAAAAGCTCAAAGGTTTATGCAAGAGTATATTGCTTTTAGGGAGCTGTAAATTGCTTGGTAAGGCTAGAGAGTAAAAGCTGCTTCACTTATGAATAACAGACATAAATGAGGGCAATGGAGAGTCTTTGTGAGCCATGAAAGGCTTTCAGCAGGAGCTTGCCACAAACAAAGTTCCTTTGGTAGCCATGTGCACAGTAAAGTAAATTAGGGTAGATACAATGTCCAAGTGTTAGGCAAACTCCTCGAGAGACAGAGAGAGATAGAGAGAGAGAGAGAGAGAGAGAGAGAGAGAGAGAGAGAAGAAGAAGAAGAAGAAGAAGAAGAAGAAGAAGGAGGAGGAATCAAATTGTGAAATATGATATATCAAGAACTATGTAATGTTTTGAACAGCCAACAATAAAAAATTAAAAAAAAAAAACATTTTTTTAGTTGTAGAGGGACACAATACCTTTATTTTATTTATTTATTTTTACGTGGTGCTGAGGTTTGAACCCAGTGCCCCACACGTGCTAGGCAAGCGCTCTACCACTGAGCCACAATCCCAGCGATTAAGGTTGACATTTTAGAGAAAAATCTCAAGAGTTTAGATTTTCAAAAAATAGAAGGGCAAAAGGAATACCTCAAGTTGTTCTTTATCTCTCTCTTCACTGCGTCCCAATTTGGCTTTTTCCTTCTCTAAGGCCCACTGGAGCTCTCTTGATTTTTTCTGTTCACTTGCTAGTATATCATTAAGCAAACGTAGTTCATCTGTCTCGTCTTTTACTGCCAATCTAAATAAAATGATTAAATGAACTTTCATAAAACTATTCTATGTATTGAGAGAAACAGGCAACATTTTCACTAAAGGGCTGAGGCACAGTATAAACTACCTAATAGAAAAATATAAACTATTTAGAGATTAAGGATTAACTGTGGTTTATTTCAAATTACCTGTTCCTAGTAGTACAACTACCATTATTTACCACTGTAACAATTATCCAATCTGTTTCTAGAAAAGAATATTAACAAAACATTTCCCTTGTCTTTTACTGAACATGGGAATTGTCATGCATTTTTACAAACGAAATACCTTAGTATTTATACCAACAAATATATCCTTTTCATAAGCGTTATATCTTCAAATACTGTGTATTTTAGCTAACTAAATTCTGAAACACATTGAGATCATAAAGGTTAAGTTCATATTGGCTGGAGGTAAAACAAAGATCACAAGTATATCTTATACAAGTCTCAAATAGAACTGAGGGCCACAATACAGATTGGGCCAAAACAATCTTAAACTTATACTTTGGAAAAATTGGGGATTTTCACCCTCTACTGTAGTTTTTTCCCATAAATAACAAAATCACATGCTACTTAAACAACATGTATTTTATTTTTATAATATCTGCATAATATTTATGACAAAAGTACTCCAATTCCTTCACTAATACACGTTTATAATTAGGAAGTGTGGTATACCTGAATGCTTCTAGTTCCTTTAGATGCTTATGCTGTGCCTTGAGTGTTGTTTCAAGTTCCAATTCCGTTTGTGCAATTTCATTTTTTAGCTCAGCAACTACCATTTTTTCTGAACTCAGGTGTTCTTGAAGTTCACTTGCTTTGTCTTTCATATTGCTGAGCTCCACTTGCATCTCCAGAATTTGAGACTGCTTCTGCTGCATAGTATATTCCAAAAGTTCTAAAGAAAAAATGATCAATATTTATAATTTAACCTAGTAACTCCTATTTGGTTTATAAATATTTTATTGATAAGAACTGATTTGTAACATAGGAGATAACTGCAAAGCAATCATGAAAGGATTACAGTCCCCAAAGTTTAATACAAATAAACTTTATGCATGTTTTCCTCATAGTGGTAGTGGCCAAGATTTCAGAAGTATTTATGAAAATGATAAAAGTTTAACAACAGGGGCTGGGGTTGTGGCTCAGTGGTAGAGTGCTTGCCTAGCATGCATGAGGCACTGGGTTTTATCCTCAGCACCACATAAATGTAAAAACAAAGATAATGTGTCCACCTAAAACTAAAAAATATAAAAAACTAAAAAAAATTTCTTTATTTATTAATTTTAGTTGTAGATGGACACAATACATTTATTTATTTATTTTTATGTGGTGCTGGGGATTGAACCCAGTGCCTCACACAGTTAGCCACAACTCCAGCCCTCCAAGAACTTTTGAAAATCACACATAGTACTTGTAGGAGTTATTCATGTATCTATGACTATAATGGTTGGCACTGTTTGCTTCTTTTGTTCAGCCTCTCTTTGCAGACAGTCCTTAGGAACTTTACTTTTATAATTGTTCCAGAAATAGAAGTCCAAACTCCAGTTGAGATCTTGTTTTTTTCAATAAAAACGAACCAAACCCTCCATAATACACATTTGTTACAATGAAAACAAACTCAAGAATTTAAATCTCGGCCAGGTGTGGTGGTCAAGCCTGTAATCCTAGTGGCGCAGGAGGATCATGAGTTCAAAGCCAGCCTCAGGAATGGTGAGGTGCTAAGCAACTCAGTGAGACTCTGTCTTTACATAAAATATAAAAGAGGGCTCAGTGGTTGAGTTCCGTCCCCGAACTAAAATCTTATACATGTTAAGTAAAAACAGGTTACAAAATATGCATCAGGATCCTGTTTTTATGACAAAAAATATACTTATGTACATATGGACATTGAAAAGGTCTGTAGACATATTTACTTGGGTGTTAAATAGTCATTATTTTAGGATTTATGTGACTCAAGATGTGATTTTTACTCTCTTGTTTTTTCTATTCCACCATAAATATGTAACAGTACATATTTAATAAGAAAAGTTTTTACTTAAAATTCTAGCAAAGTTCATCAACAGACATTACAATTAGTAAGAATGATATTACAAGAAGGACATAACATTGACTTTAGGTGATAATCATGTTAATTTAGCTTTTAAAACTATTTCTTAGGGGTAGAGGTTAATAATTTACACATATAAACATGAATCTACAGAGATACTCATTAAGACTTCAATAGCATTCTATATAAACAATATTAATTACCTCTAAAACTTTTCAATTAAGCCTTTGTCTACAGGGATATGTTTAACTTATTATACCTGTTTTCTCTGAAGAATTTTAACATGATTCAGCTTTTCAATGACAAATTTTGAGCTTGTGTGGTGATTTTAAAGTCTGCAAAAGCACAGGTGTTTCTATCATCACTACATGAAACAGTTACTAAAGATGCATATGTCCTCAATAGATGAGAATTTAATAATGATTTCCATTTACAGTTAAATTAAATAGACTTTTATCACAAAGTGGGGAAAAGATCCAAGCAAGCATATCACAAAAACAATAATCCAAATAGTTGATAATCATATGAAAAAGCACTAAGCCACTTGAATAATTAAAATCAATTAAAACTACAATTATGTACTGCACGCCAAACGGATTGGCAGCAAAGGTCTAACAATACTGGAAAGTTGGCAAAGTTGTATATAACACAACTCTCATATACTGCTAGTGCATGCACAAATTGACAAAACTACATTTTTTAAAAAAGATTTATTTTTTAGTTGTAGTTGGACACAATATCTTTATTTTATTTATTTTTATGTGGTGCTGAGGATCAAACCCAGGGCCTCCAATGTGCTAGGTGAGTACTCTACCTGTGAGCCACAACCGCAGCCCCTAACAAAACTACTCTTTAAAATCGTTTGGTGTTCTCTAATAAATTTAAAGATATGAATTCTATGACCCAGCAATTTCACTCCTAGAAAGACATAAGTACAATTGCATCAGAAACACTTTGCAACAGTGTCCACAACAGCAATGACTCTAATAGCTAAAAAGCAGAAACAATCCAAATCTAATCAACCACAGAATGAAATATAAGTTGTAGAATATCCAAACAAGAGAATTCTACATGGTAACAAAAATGAACTATAGATAAATGCAGTAAGTTGGGATAATTCAGGAAGGTGACAGAAGCAAGACATAAAATATACAGATAAAGTTCAAAAATAGAAAAACTTTAAAACATATATGATTTTGGAATATATAAATTAGTAATAAAACTAAAGAAAAATCAGGATAACCTCTAAGTTGCTAAAGAGGGGGCTTCAGAATGTTCTACTTCTTAACACAAGCAATGTCTCCTCCATAGACATTCATATAATAATGTCATACTGGGGCTGGAGTTATGTCTCAGCAGTAGAGTGCTCGCCTATCATGTGTGAGGCCCTGGGTTCAATCCTCAGCACCACATAAAAATAAATAAATTTTTTTTAAAAAAAGGTATTAAGTCCAACAACAACTAAAAAATAAATATTAAAAAAAATAATGTCATACTGAAGAGTTGAATTGTTCACTTTTCTGTATGTTGTTATAGTTAAATTTTTAAAAAGAGGGATTAAAAAAGAAATGGCTACTTTCATTATGGATTTCCTTTTCCTTTAGGTAGTTATCCTCTAGTATGTAAAACACCTTTCTTAATGTACAGCTTTAAGAGAGTTCAACATCTCTAGCAATTAGAGAAATGCAAATCAAAACTATTCTAAGATTTCATCTCACTCCTGTCAGAATGGCAATCAATCATCAAGAATAGGCAACAACAAATGTTGGTGAGGATGTGGTGGAAAAGGCATACTCATACATTGCTGGAGGGACTGCAAATTGGTGCAACCACTATGGAAAGCAGTTTGGAGATTCCTCAGAAAACTGGGAATGGAACCACCCTTTGACCCAGCTATCCCATTCCTTGGTTTATATACCCAAAGGACTTAAAATCAGCATACTATAGTGATGCAGCTGTATCAATGTTTATAGCAGTTCAATTCACAATAGCTTATCAATGGAACCAACCTAGGTGTCAATCAACAGATGAATGGATGAAGAAAATGTGGTATATATACTCAATGGAATATTACTCAGAGCTTTAAAGGAGAGTGAAATTACGGCATTTGCCAGAAAATGGTTGGAGTAGGAGAATATCATGGTAAGCAAAATAAGCCAATCCCATAAAACTAAAGGCCAAATGTTTTCTCTAATTTGTGAATGCTAATTCACAATAAGGTGGGGGGGTAGTAGGGAAGAATAGGGTTACCTTAGATTAGGTAGAGGGAAGTGATGGGAGAAGAGGGGAGGGAATGTAGGGATAGGAAAGATAGTAGAATGAAACAGATATTATTACTGAATGTATATATGTGACTACATGACCAATATGATTCTTCAACATGTATACTCAGAAAAATGAGACATTATATCCCATCTATTCATGATATATCAAAGTGCATAAATGCATTCTACTGTCATGTATAACTAATCAAAACAAACAAACAAAAAAAGAGACCATGAAATTAATTTGTTTAACTTGGTCAAGGTAAGGCTACTGTATTTAAAATTAGATACAGTTGTTTAAAATCAATTTGACAATCCTCTAGCCACTACAGTAATTAATATAATTAATGTTATGAAAATGAGAAATCAATATCACTAAAAGGAAATGTTTTAACTGAGTAATAATAATGTAAAGTGAAATATTTTCACCCATTTGTGTAATTATATGAGTCTGTTTTGTAACATACCTAGGTTTGGTTTATCATTTTCTTGTTCTCTTTTCAAGGTCATTTTCTTGTCATTAATTTGAGCACGTAGTACTTCAATTTCAGACAATAAGCTTCTTCTGTCTATTTTTTGGAGATATTCCATAGCTGCTCGATATTCAATACCCTTTTTGTAACAAAGGAAAAGAAAAAATCAAGTGAAGAGAGTTGTAAAGATAATAAAATTAACAACCAGAAGTCTGAAGAATAAATGAACTACACATGCTAAAGTTTTTTTCTTTTAAAAATTTCATTCTTTTTGTCTAAAATGTGGGAGGATTTCTTGCAGATAGATGCTTCTTTACCTCTAAATACTGTAGTGTACTTCCTAAAAATAAGAGCATTCTTTTACATAACTGCAGTATAATGATCAAAAGAGTAATTAACTTATCATAATATTATCTGGTATAGAGAGTTTTTTCAAATTTTGCCAAAAGTTCTTTAAGAAAAAAAAAGTGATTCATAAGTATTCCTTTGTCTTTCGTGATCTGAATTTTTTTGAAGAGTACAGACAGGTTATTTTGTTGCATGTCCATTAATTTAAAAAAACTTTTTTGGACTAATGTAAGTCAAAGTACTTGAGGGGTTTGGCCAGCTTTCCCCAATAATAGCTTATATAATCAGAGCACATTATCAAAACTAAGAAACTGACATGGATAAAATTCTATTTAAACTACAGGTTTTAATAAAATTTCATTTGTTTACATGTACTCATTTTTTCTCTTGGCATACAGTACTATGAAATTTCATCACTTGAACAGGTTCATATATATGTACCACAATAAGGGTAAAAATTATTTCAATCACCACAGAGACTACTCTGTAGTCCTACCCTCTTCTCCCTAACCCTAACCTCTGGCAACTACTGATGTGTTCTCTATCACTATAATTTTGTCATTTTTAGAAGTTACATAACACACAGGAAGTTTAGGGTATTGATTGTTCCTTTTTTAATTGTTGAATAGTATTTCATTGTATGAATATATCACAGTTTCTCCATCTATTCACTTACTGGAGGACATCTGGGTTGTTTCAAGTATTTGGTTATTACAAAGAAAATTACTGTGAACATTCATAAATAGGTTCATAAATAGACACCAGTTTTCATTTCTGTTGATTAAATATCTACACGTGTGACTGCTAGGCTGTGTAACAGATGTACGTTTACCTTTACAAGACACTGCCAGATTTAGTTTCCAGAGTAGCAGTCCTGCTTTACACTGCCTACCAGCAATGTATGTGACATGAAGTTTCTCTCCCTCTTTACCAGCATTTGGTGGTGTCACTATTTTTTATTTTGCCCAGTCTAATAGATGCATGGTGGCCTCAGTTGGTTTTGGTCTCATATTTTCCCAAGTGGATTCTGATTATGCATTTCATAGAAGTATTAGGAAGTACTCGATGTCTTTTTTTCCCCATTACTGGTAATATTGATTCTGATCATTTGGGTGGGGCTTGCAAGGTTTCTCCAGTGTAAAGTTACTGTTTTTCCTTTTGTAGTTAAAAATGATCTTTTAGGGATTTTACTTTTCTTATCAACTTTTTCACATTAGTTTTAGCATCCACTGTTGATTATTGCTGAATTGATCATTACTATATTGTTGAATAAAGTATGATCTTATAATTCCTTCGTTCCTTCTACATTTAATAGCTGGCATTCAACTGTGATAATATATATCCATCTACATGAGCTCATGAATTCTTATTTTACTCTTAACTTTAAAATCTGTCACTTTCATTTTGTTTGATCTTTTAATTTTCTAACTTTGGCCAGTGAGGGAACCTTCAACAGGCTTCTGTGACCTTCTGACATATTCCCTTATTTCTTTGAATAATTCTTTACATGCTGGCAAAATGAGGGATTCCAGGTTTACCTTATTGTCTTCCTACTCTATTCTTGGAATCATCAGATGCAAAAGGATTCCTAATTCTTTTTAATGGATAACGTATTTAAAAAACCAAGTCCTGGGTACTAAGTATTGTGAGAAGATTAAAAAATTTTTTTTTGTTTTAGTTGTAGTTGGACACAAAACCTTTAATTAATTTATTTATTTATATGTGGTGCTAAGGATCTAACCCAGCACTGTACACTGAGTTGCAACCCCAGCCCTACTGATTTGATTCTGTTGTAGGTCTTTTCAGGTATTCTATTTCTTCCAGCATGAATTTTGATAAGTGATTTTTAAAAAAAATTTCACCTCAATTTTTTTATTTGTATAAATAAAATAATTTATAATATTTTGTTATTTTATTTGTTACATGTTTAATTATGATCTCATCTTCATTTATAACATTTAAAAATCATAATGAATTCTCCAGAAAAGATTTTCTTATTTAGCATTTTCAAGGAACCAATTTTTAATGTTTTATCCTCTATATTGTACTGGTTATACATTTCATTAATGTTTTTTACTTTATTGTAGTTAATCCTCATTATTAATGGATCCTGTGTTTTCAGATTTGTCTACTTGATAAAAAGTTTTTGTAACCCTCAAATCAATACTTGTATTGCTTTGTCAGACATAGTTAGAGTAGTAAAAAATTTAAATTTCCTCATGCACATGTTCCTGGCTGAGTTAAACAAGGGCATACTCTACCTTTGTATTTTAGCTCTCATATTGTACACAAATGTCCTGTTTAGTAACTTGTTTTTCCATATTGTGCTTTGTATTTGTGATTTCGTGGTTTTAAATGGCCCACAAGTGAAGGGCTTGGTGTTCCTAAGTGCAAGAAATCTGTGGCATGCTTTAAGGAGAAAAGTGTGTTAGATAAGCTTCTGTATGATTGCTCTTGGCCGCATTAAACATTAATGAATAATATACAACACAGAAGGTATCTTTTTTCTTTTTTTAATGGCACTGAGTACTGAGCCCAGGGCCAAGAGTATGCTAGGCAAGCATTCTACCACTGAGATACATCTCTTCTCCCCTCCCCATATAAGATTTCTTTAAACAGAACCACACAGAAAATAAGATCATGTATTGACTGGTTGATGAAAATATTGTGATTGAGGCTTACAGTAACCTATTCCTGTATTTCCTATGGGAAATATAACTACTGCAAATAATGATAAGTGACTGTATCTTATTCCTTCTCTTTTCTTTAGGTTTTACTCCTCTTTCTAACTTTCCAAGTTTGAGGACTATCTCATTAATTTTAAGTTTTTCTTACTTTCTAATATAAGACAAAAGGTAATGTTCTTCTCCTAAATACTCTTAGTGGCCCCTGTTAAAAATGCTAATCTTCATACTTAAATTAAGACTCTAAAACAAATCAGCAACTGATTTTCTTATTACTATTAAAAATAGTATTCTTTAAAATAAAATTTTGTTTTGATACCTGTTCTTGTATTCGCTGTTCCAAACACTTTAATAATCCAACTGCATCTTTAGTGCCTAGAGCTGTCAGTTCAGTCTGAAATGCAGCCAGCAAAACATTGTGCTCCTTTAAGAAAACATGTTGGAGAGCAAGTAGAAATTCCCCTCGCCAGTCCGGGAGGCTCTCATGAGATTGAGAATTATCACAAACCTAGCAGAGTACGAATAACAAAAGTTAGGTTTCAAATAAGCATGTTTTAAAAACATTCTACTAACCAAAATAGGTATTTAAAAGAACGTATGTATTTTTGAGTCTGAAAATACATACAATAATTTATGTGAAAATTCATATAAAAAAGAATTTAATTTACAAAGTTCATTATTGTCATTAAAAATAACAATGCTACATAGAATATAATATTCTTTGGGTACCTCAGATTCCCTTTGCACTTGTATTTTGGTAATTAATTCCTTAAGAGATGAGATGATATTAAGGTAAGCTCTTCTCTCTTTTAGCCAAAATTCTGAAACCTGTTGAATAGAATGATCTTCTCTATTACCACATGGTGACTCAGTGAGAGAAAGCACCTGCATGCACTCATTATAAACAGCTCTCAGTAATCCCTAGAAACCAAAATCCAAAAGCCAAAGTTATGACAACTTCTCCAAATACTGAAAAAATGAGAGCTACAAAGACAAATAAATATTAAGCAATATAGCATTATGAAGCAAAATAGATTTAGAAAAGCAACCGCAGAAAAGAAATTCCAGGCACCTTTACTAAATGCCTTCTTCCTGTGGAGAGCTAAGTCAATTGCAATAGATGGTCTATGATTTCCATAGCTTTCATCTCTAAGTTCCTTCAGTTTAGCTAATGTACTCTTCCTAGATTTAATGATTAGCCATTGATTTGACCAAAAGAAATACTGTGGGAAAAACTTCCATTCCTTGAGACTGCTTTTATAATTTTGGCAAACAAAAACACCAGTAATAAAAATTATTTTTTTAAATCTTCATAACATAATTATTTAATATATTGTATTTTATTATTTGTGGAATATGGAAATAAAATGAAATAGATTCTCATGGATTTTTTTTTTCTTTTAAGTCATTTATTTTAGCCTGTTTTCATTTGAAGCATGAGGTGAGTGCTACCCTTTGCTTCTATTTGATGGGGTGGACTGTACTAGACATTGTTTGAGCAACCAGGGATGGTACTTCCAACATCCTTTTTCCTCAATATCTAGTTAACAGAGAATTGACAAAAAGATCTGGTCACTAATCCTGGAAGAAAGGAGGGAGTGGAGGGCAGAATATTTTCTCCTTCTCTCTCCCCCTTCCTTCGATCTTTCTTGCTATACAGTTTTTTCAGAGATCCAGTATATAACTTTAAATAAACTACTATGTTCAACATAGAAATTATACTGGCTAAGTTTACTAAAATATATTATGTTTCAGTAACATTTATCTTTTAGTACCTTTATTTTCTTTGGAAATGATTGTGTTAAATTTTCACCTTCTTCTCCTCGTCCTTCTGATGCTGTGTCAAATCCCTGATTTTGCGTAAGATAAACTCCCTGACTCCAGTCTGATCCAGAATCTAAAATAAAGAAAACAATCATTTTGTCATTTTTTAATGCAGAGTAATACTCCATTGTGTATAAATGCAACAATAAAAAATTAAAAAAAAAAAAAAGAAAACAATCATTTGTTGTTAAACAAACAAACAAAAATAAAAAACATACCCTCTCCAAACAAAAATAACATGTTTTAATCAAATACTATAAACATTCCAGAATTTTATATAACTTACCACTGGAATAGATTCCTCTAGTTTGGTAAGCATTAGAATACGTTATTTCAGGAATCAAGGATCCCTAATTAGAAAAAAGAAACAACATACATAAATATTTTTGTTTTAATAAAAACAGAACCCAATGAACTATTTTGCTGTTATAATGCTGTAAAAAGGAAAAGGAAAGAAAAAGAAAAAACTCAATCTAAGCATACTTGAAATGAAACTATCTTATGATTTATAACAATTTTTTCCTTATGGATATTACCATAGTAAGAAGAGATAGTTATTATTTAAGGAACCATAACAAGTTGCAAATTTACATAAGAACTCTATTATCTAATACAATGGGGAGACTTAAATTCTAATAGCATAAAGAAGAGATATTTCCCAAATTTCTTTTAAAATTTTTGCTTAAAAACAGATTGTTGACAACAGTGGAAACTCCCCCCACACGACAACAACAAAATAAATACCTCTTTAAAAGATCTCAGACACTGTATCACTGCCTTCAATGTACCACACTCCTCTGTCAGTAACTCAACAGCAACATAATGTTCCCTCTTTAAAGTTTGAGTTTCTGAAATATGTCTGGATTCCATATCCAAAATTTCAGCGGCATGAAGTTCTTGTATGCGTTCAATTATTTCAGTAAATTGCCTAATTATTTCAGAGACTTTTTCTGAGGAACAGCTAGTCTGTACATCAATTTGAATTCCTGCATTTTTAACAAGAATTTGTGGAGTCTGGTTGCTCATGTTGACCTTGAGTATTTGGTCCGTTTGGGATGCAGTGTTTTTACCTACTTCAACAGGAAGTGGCTCTAAGCAGATGTTTCTGTTTGTTAGTACTTCAGACTTATCCTCTTTTATTAAGAAGTGGGATAATTTCTTTTTTTCCTCACCAAGCTGATTCTTAACTTGGCTTAAATCTCTCTGAAGAGATGCCATATTTGTCTCTTTTACCTAAAACACAGATGAATTAAGTTGAAAATCTTGCACATCAAATGAAGAACTTACAGAGGAGAGGGAAAGAGTATAATTTCATTTATATGTTCACTTGCCTCAGAATAATAGGAAAAACACTTTGGAAATTGTAATACATATATACTTTCGCATGTATGTATGGTCACAGGTTACTACAAAATTGAAATAATTTTATTAGCCTTTACTTTTGTTTCTCAGGGGATTTAAGTTCTCTTTAACAGCAGTTTTTCGCTTCCTTTGCTAAAAGACTAGAGATTAAAAGCATTCTTCTAATATAAAGATTCCTAGCAAAACAAGCAAGGAGATGGTGAATAGATTTATAACAATGGAATTTTTCAAAAAGACTTGTAAATTTAGTTTTTAAGTTATGGCTCTGGACTTGTTTCTATAAGACATTTTGAAAGGGAATTAAGATGGGTAGAAATGAATGAATTAGGAGTTATGTTACTTGTCTTACCAAAAGCTCTTTTTGAAGTTTTTCTGTCCTTTCTTTGAAAGTGGCAAGTTCTTCTTTGGTAGCCACTAACTCGATTTTAAGAGCCTCAAGTTCTTCAAAAAATCCACTTTCTCCACGGGCATTTATTAACTCAGTAGCTGTCTGGATACAGTAGAAAACATAAGAAATACATCATTAAAAAAAAAAAAAAAGCTAAGTTCAAAGCATTTACACATTCTAATGAAGCTTTTCCAAGACTAACTGCCTAGGGGTTTTAGTGATAAATGCTCTTTCAACAAACAGTGAAACATTTTAAGAACCATCATTTTGTATTCTTAAGGAAATAAGAAAGATTTTCTGGGAATGAAAGACAAATCATGCCATTAATATATATAACATTTATAAATTATTGATAAAAATATTCTTTGTGCCACTCAAAAGTTTCATATTTATATTACTTTCCTCAAAAGATATGAGCTCAAAGATAATTATTATAAGTTATACCTAAAAAGTTATATTAATATTTTAATAATTATTACCTACAGAAATATGCAATTCCAATGAGCTAGGAAGAAAAAGTATAGTGAGTGAAATTATTATCCTTTGCCAATATAAATTAAGTAGACATAAAATCCCAATGTATCAATTAATCTTCTGGGGCAGATAAGACTCAACTTCTGGTACTTGAAATTGTAAGTTTATTAAGTGAGGGAACTTGAAGGAAAAAAATCTTTGTCATGTCTGTCATACACTAAGAAATAATTGCAATTTCTGATCTTTATGTAAGTAGACTTAGGTCAGTTACAAATTTTTCCTAAGAAGAATAAAATCTATTATGAGGCATAAAATTTGCCAAGCTAATAACTTGTTACTCATATGTTAATTTAATATGAATGTTTTGATATTTTTATAATTGTATCTCACCTACATAACTTTCACAGATTTTATGCCAAAATTATTTTTGCAAAAGTGTGGTATGACCATTTTATGAAGCTCTCCCCCCAACCAAAAAAAAAATTGTGCTGGAATTAATTAAAAATCATCTATTACTATTAATAAACTGTCTTTGGTGCAAGATTAGAATGTATAGAATACTTATGAATATACATTACTGTGGTGGTGATGATTATGGGGTGCACTATGATACTTAAAAGAGATGATGACATAACATACTTAGTAGAGGTACATTAAGGGAGAAAATATTCACAGAAATTCTAGAGGACATTTGCTAAATTTAATGTTTGAAAATCACAAAATATATATGGGCCCATTATTCTAGTGATAATAAAATGACCCTATAGTGTTAAATTTAATCTGGTCTCTATACCTTGAGTTTCTGTGTAAGAAACTGCAATGTAACTTGGTAGGAAAACAAATGAACAGAGTATAATCAACTACTAAGTCTCAGCCAATGATAGTAGGCAACTATGTTTCAGCCAATCATAGGCAATCAACCAATCAAATCACATCCAAACAAGGTCTAGCCATGACCAATCAAGCAATTTCTGAATTTTATTTGTGAGTTCTGCCTCTAAATACCACCCACTGTTGCACAGTGAAACTGTTTCAATCTCTTCTGGTTCTGAGTGTTGCACAATGCATGTAGCACTTTTTGCTCAAACAAACTCTTTAGTTTGTCTAAAGTTCTTTAAGAACAATATGATTTTTTTTAATAAAATCCCATTATGTATAAATTGGTAGGTGTCAGCAGAACTGTTTGACTTAGTAAATTACCAATCAGCTTAATAAGCAAAGGAAAAAAAAAAAAAAAAGAGTTTCTTAGGGTATTTATGTGAAAAACTCAAATATAAAACTAACCTTGAGAACAAAATCTCCATGAGGGCTTCTTTTCCTTTCTTTTCCTTCTATTTTTTTCTCACTGTCCTCCAATAACTTCTGCAGTTCTATCAGCTTCTTTTCTTTTTCCAAAGCATTTTTCTCTGCAGTTTCCACTTGTTCTTTTTCTGAAATCAAAGTAGTATGCATTTCAATCACTTGTCTTTCTAAGTCTGATATTCTCAAGGTTAATGCAGACATATCTGACTCCATCTTGTTTTCTGTTATTTGATTTAAATTCTGCATATTTTCCTTTTCAAGTTCTGATGAAGCTACTCCTTTATCTTGATAGAATTTCTCATATTCCTGAACTGCCTCAAGTTGGACTTGACTTACAAGAGCAGCAGCTACTTTCTCCTCAAGTACTTTCTGTAGGTTTACGATCTTCTTCTGAAGCATTTCTGTTTCAGATTGGCCTTGTTCTTTTATGTCTTCTATTTGTTTATAACACTGGATAAGTTCTAAGTCCTTTGCGCTAACAGAGCTCTCAAGCTGTAGCAGTTTTGTTTCCAAATTTCTGGAAACTTTGGTGCTTTCTTCAAAAGATCTGAGATACATCTTGTTCTCAGGGGGTTTAAGAACATCTTCAATATGGATTACTTCCAGTTCGGGTTGGTCTTTGCTGAGATCATCTATAGTCATGCTAACACTTTCGTCTGGTACACTTTGGATTTTTTCCTTATGGTCATGTTCTCTCTTCAAGTTGACTAATTCTTGTGTTAGCTGATCCATTTGAAAATTGGTTTCTTTAAGTATATTTTTTGTGAAGGCCATTTCTTCATTAGTGATTTCTACTTGCTGTTCCAAAGCCAGCTTTTCAGCTATAACCTTTTCCAACTGATGTTTCAAGCTGTCCTCTTGTTCTGAGGGGGAACTGGTATCCACCAACATATTCTGTTCAATATATGACAATTGCTCCTGAAGTTTTTCAATCACTTCATTGAGCTTGTCTGTTTCTTCTTCTCTATTTTTCTTCAAACGTTCTTGACCACTCTTCCGACATTCTATTTGGGCTTCAAGATCCCTTATCAGTTCATTTTTTTCTTCAAAATCCTATTAGTTAATGAAAAAGGGAAACACAGAAAAATATGTATTCATATTTTAAAATTTTGTTTTATTTTAGGGTAAAAACTTAAAGATGATCAGGCACAAAAGCTGTATGCTTGTCAGACACATTATGTTACTTTCAATATAGACCAACACCTCCCTTATCACATCAAACAAAGACCTTATTTAGAACATCATTCTGGAAGTTCTATTAAACATAAGTGGCTTATGCTTTTAGTATTTGATTCTCTATTAGGAAAATGTCAACACTAGTACATTTTATTGGAAAAGATAAAATACTGAATTAAGTCTATAACAGATGGCATCCAAAGCTAATTACTCTATTTAACTATATTAGATTTCAGATAATAACCAATTTTAAATGAGTATACCTTGTTATCTGTTGTAAGTCTAAGTTGTTGATGAAAGTCTCTAATTTGCTCATTTAATCGATCAATTTCTACCTCTTTTTCCTGTATTATTTGAGCAAATTTCCCAAATAGCATATGCTGGTCATGAGTAGAGATAGCCTCAGGATCCTTTATGGCAAATCTCAATTTCTCCATTTCATCCTAGTGACAAAAATAACCATCACAGTTGGATGTATTCATGACATGGCATTTTTCACAACATTGTTTCAATTAAGTCTTATAAAAAATACATTTCCTACAATGTACAAGTAAAAAAAATTAGACATAATGAAGATCAATAATTCTTGAAATATTTTCATAAAAGATCTCAAAAATTTAATTATGAGCAGAAAATAAGTTCCATGCAAATCTATTTGCTTGCTAGTGTTCTTCGAGTGAGTATTATTTAGATCTGGACTTAGTAAATGTTTATTATAACTACATAGGAGGAAAACTTATTATCTCTTTATAGAAAAAAGAATTTTCTAAAATAGTTACCTTGAATAACTTATTTTCTTGTTCAAGTTCCTGTAGACAGGTAGTGGATTCCTTTTTCTGTATTTCCAATTGCATATGTAGTTGCTGAACTTCTTCATTTTTATTTTCAAGCTCATCTCTAAATTGCTCTAGTTGTTCTTCTAAGTTTGTTATCTTTAATATAAAAATTATGAAAAGTAAAGAAAAAAAAACTTTATACAGATGTTTGTCAAGATAGAATTAAGAATGTTGGGGCTGGGGCTGTAGCTCAGTGGTAGAGCGCCTGTCGTGCACATGTGAGGCACTGGGTTCGATCCTCAGTACCACATAAAAATAAAGATATTGTGTCCAACTACAACTAAAAAAAAAATTTTAAAAAAAAGAATGTTGTATTTGCTTTACAAAGTACATATGCTTAATTCATAAGAATAAAGGAAAGTGGTTTTCTAAGCCAGCCATACCTGTATGGTTCCTAGACATGCTCACACTGCACATTCTTTTTTTTCTTTTTTGGTTTGTTTATTTTGTTTTTGTTTTGGCACTGGGGACTGAACCCAAGGGAGCTTTACCATGGAACCACATCCCCCCAGCCCTTTTTTTTCATTTTATAGTTTTTAGATAGAGTCATGCTTAGTAAGTTGCTTGGGGTCTTGCTAAGGTGCTGAGGCTGGCCTCAAACTTGCAATCTTCCTGCCTCAGACTTCTGAGTTGTGGGATTATAGGTGTGTGCCACCGTGCCTGTCACACTGCACATTCTTAAACCATCTTGCCCAAGCAGAAGACACCTTTAAAGAAGGACACCAGGAAACATTTTCTACCATAAGCAGAAAGAGTCACAGAAAGGAGTAGTCCACATGCTAACTCTTATGTTAAATTCAGTTAGAATTAAGTCAGTTGCTATTGAAAAGCTTAGAAAAATTGTAGAATTAATTCAGTTATTCTAGTATCAAATAAAACTAACTTAATATAGTCCCACAAATATCTAATTATAATCCATTGAATGCCCTGGCTGCTTTGTAGTTTGATTAAGCAGATGGAAGCACAGATACACAATAAGGTCAAGAGATCCTTAGGTCTGAATTGCAGAGTAAGTTAACAAAATAATTTTAGTAGAAAATCAGAGAGCTCTTACTTATAGGAAAACAGAAATTTAATTTTTGAAGATGGATTATTAGTAACAAAAGTAAAATAATCCTCTTAGATGGTTACACACAAAAAATGAACCTGATGACGAATATTAAGAGCTAATTATTGCTCTATTTAAAAAAATGGGTTTGATTGAGGACATTAGCAGTCACTTTAGCTCACTGATTCACAGCTACTTAATATTTAATAAATGAATTTATAAACATATATTTATTTGATGATCAAAAATGTTGCATTAACAGCAACCTAAGATGCAGTAGCAGTGTTTAGTAGTAACTGGCTCAGAGCCAACTTTAAATCATTTAGTGCCTTAAAGTTGAAAAGGGGCATATGTTGCTTATATACTGATACATCACATAATTAGAATCATTCTAGCACAGGCAAGGCAAGGCCTTAAAAATCAGCCTAAAAAAAGAAATCAGCAAGGAAAAAAAATCAGCCTAATATTTCTTAAACAGAAATGGTATCAATACTAAATAATGGCTATAATTTATAGAGAATTACTGCTAGGCATGGGTACAAAGTACTTTATATATTGTTATTTTTTAAAAAGCCTGTTACAACCTTAGGAGCTCTATTCTATGATTAACCCCATTTCAGAAGTGAGGAAGGGAGTTACTGCAAGGAGTAACTTTTCCTGAGGTCACATGTCTACTATGTGGTGAAACCACCTTTTGAACCTGGGAGTTCCAGTCCTAAACTATAATTTATCCTGTTTCTAATAACTAATGTCTAAGACCTCTATTTAAATTTTTTTGGTAACACTGATATTAAACTCTGTAGACACTAAAATACATTTAGTGGTTGTACATACATAATTTCCAGGTTAGTTTATTGAAAATTGTGATGACTGTATCTTCTTCAAAGTTATCTGACAGTATTTACACCTATTCTTCTCTTCTATAGCAAATTTTAATGACAAGGTATTATAAAATCAACATACACATAGTTATTTAAGTTCAAAATTGCTGCCCCACCTCACATGACCTTTTTTTTTTTCCTTGTGACATCACTTAATAGTCTAATTCTTAGCTCTATGTCTTAAAAGCTCTGCTACTCAAAGTGTAGTCTTGGGAGCAGCAGAATAGGCATCATGTGAGAGCACGTTTGATGCACAGAATCTTGTGCTGCACTCAAGATCTGCATTTTGGGAGCTGAGGTTGGGGCTCAGTGGTAGAGCGCTTGCGTAGCATGCGTGAGGCACAGGGTTTGATCTTCAGCACCACATAAAAAAAAAAAAGGTATTTAGTTTCTCTACAACTAAAAATTTTAAAAAAAGAGAGAGATAAAAAAAAAAAGACCTGTACTTTAACAAGGTCCCCAGCTGATTCATATGCAGAGAAGGACTGGTTTAAAGTACTAACATTTTTATTTTAAGTAGCTGAACTTGAGACATCACATCAGACTTTAATTTCTCCAAATGACACTATGGAACATTCTTGTTATTCAAGCAGACTCTAGTTTCAGGCTGTCTTATAACAACACCCAAACCAGAAGAACATTAGAAAGGTTTAAACTTGTTTTACTTGTCTACCAATTGATATCTAGACTATTTGGATGACACTGATTTGTACCTATTTGAGTTTTATTTTATTTTATTTTTTAAGTGTTTTTTTCTCTTAAAAAAAAAAGTATAGGGGCTGGGGTTGTGGCTCAGTGGTAGAGCGTTTGCCTGGCATGTGTGAGCCACTGCGTTAGTTTCTCAGCACCACATATAATCAAAAAATAAAATAGAGGTCCATCAACAACTTAAAAAAATGTTAAAAAAACTTATATATGTTCCACTAATTAGATAGCATATTCCTTGAAGTCTGGTGTTGATTTCACAACTGAACAAAAGTGCTCTACATGCAGAAACAGCTTAATAATAAATGTTGAATGACAGTCTTTAACATTTTTCACTAACAAGCAAAATATATTCAGTGTTCTGGCAGTATAGTATCATAGGGTTCCAGAATCAGTTCTTTCTGTCTGTACTAAGTACTAACCTCTCTTAAGGATCAGGTCACACATTGGCAAATTAGGAGATTTTAGAACAGAACCTATTCCCAGGAAGACAGTTAAGGGTTAATGGGACAAGGCATTTAATATACTTTCTAGCCCTCAGCAAAGTTAACTATTATTTACTATTGCTATCTGTAAACTAGAGCTCATTAGTTCTACAGAGAGCTAAAACTTACTGAAGGAATCGTTTTCTCAAAATAACTATTGTCTCCACAATATTTCCTTCTCCTATAAGAAGCTGTTTTCTTCTTTTTATTCATCCCACATTTCTACATAGTCTAATGAACTTTCAAAAAAATGTTTTATACAAATTTAGGTTTTGGGAGTATTTGAACGTCTCAACTATAATGATACATAAGGATATCTTTATGTTTATACTCAATAGGACATCTGAAAACATTTGCCTAGTTTTCAGGATAGAATGCTTAAGTTATTTTCATTAACATTAAAAGACATGTTTTAATTCTACATTCATACCTCTCATTATTCAGTTATAGGTAAGGGAGTGAGTTCTGATAGAATACTCATTATAGTTATGTAAAGCAAGTAAATGAAGGTCAGCTGTTATTTTAATCTGTATATATTCACTCAACATCTTTGGCTCTGGGTCTCTATCTGTAAAAACCGAAAGTCAGTTAACAGATGCTCTCTATGGTTTCTTATAGTTCCGAACTACTAGTACTATGATCCTGAGTAAAAGGTAGATGTTTATTAGAAACTTAATTCAGGAAATTAAGGTGTTAGTAGATATATATTACATTCAAAAGATAATAAAAATAATAGGGCATGGTGGCATATGAATGTAGTCCCAGCTACTCAGGAAGCTGATGTGAGAGAATTGCTTGAACCCTTGTAATTTGGAGTTTACAGCCAGCCTGGCACTATACTTAATGGCTTCCATCACAAAAACAAAAACAAAAAAACCTGTGTGTGTGTGTGTGTGTGTGTGTGTGTGTGTATGTATAGAATTAGGGCTAAGGAAATAACTCAGCGATGGAATGCTTGTATGAGGCCCTTTGAGCCCCAGAACACACACACAAATGAAGAGAAACAACTAGTAAGCTACACCAAGTATTCTTAATCAACTACCACTACTTTTAGATAGAGTTGTGAAGGTTCATTTTTTGGGGGAGGAGATTATTCAGTATTTAAGATAAATCATTAAGTATTAATTCCTTTCAAATATATAGAAATAGTTACACAAAAATAAATGTGCTCACTGCTTCAATGAAAACTCCAAACCTAATAAACAAGAACTTCTCAGATGTTACATAAAAATGGGAAAACGATCCTTCTCATGGATCATTTCAACTATAGTAATTTCTATGGATTCCTTTTTTCTTCTTTGAACTACACATTCGCTGAACTGTCATTTTAGCTGATATCTAAATTAGTTTTGTAAACAGATTTCCAAGTACTTATTAACAAATACTTCTACGATATTTAAGCAAAATAAGTATTTGTTAAAATAAATTTAAATGTTCTGAGAAAAATTCTATGGAAAGAGACAAAACATAATTAAAAACATCTTAAACATTTAAAATTATTTACTACTATACGATGTTGAGTATTATATGTTTTAGGAAAACTATTAGTAGACAAAGAAAGTTAAAATTACTATAGCTCTAAAGGTAAATTTTCTTTTCTTGTTCTCACAGGGGTATTATTATGTTGCCTAGGCTGACCTTAACCGCCTTGGCTCAAGTGATTCATTCTCCTGCCTCAGCGTCCTGAGAAGCAGGGACTACAGGCATGCACCACCATGCCTAATTGGATCCTTCTCTTTAAGAAGGAGGGAGAAGGGCAACACAGGATAACTTTATAGTTACTTTCCTGTTATTATTATTTTGTGGTGCTGCAGATTCAAACCCACATTGAGCTAAATTCCCATTCCTAGTTCATTATTAATCTTTTAAGCACAAGCTTCATATGTTGTAAAACAACACTATCAATTCTCAGGGAAAAGTTTAAAAAGAAAAAGGAAAGCAAGCAAACCCAAATTCACAGTAGAGAGGAGCAAAAACTCAACGCCCATAGCATGAACAGGAGAAAAGAGATGCTGCCTTTTGTCCTAACTACTACATTTTTCACTGTCCTCTTCACTCAGCCCATACCTGCTAAATTGTCCTTTCTCCCTCTCTAAATTTCTTCTTGCTTCAAAGTGCTCACACTAGTTATCCTCTCAACCTGGAATAAACTTCCTTCATAAGCTTATCAGTTCACATGTTTATTGTCTTGAAGATCAATTTAGGCACTGAATTGAGAAAGTCTATACTTTGGTTTTAGACCACAAATTTCATTTTGTTCAAATGACATTTTCAAGGTAACTGATTTTAACATAACTCAAAACATATTTTGTCATTTAAAAATAAAGTGGTAGAGTGCTTGCCTAGTATGTGTGAGGCACTGGGTTCAATCCTCAGAACCATGTAAGTAAATAAAACAAAGATATTTGCCCATCTACATCTAATACACACACACACACACACACACACGAAAGGAAAAAAAAAGTCCTTACCTCTTTCTCTTTTCTGTCGATAGCATCTCGCTCAGCTTGCAGTTGCACTTCTAGAGACAATTCTGCTTTAGCTTGTAAGGCTCCAAATTGTTTCTGGTCCTCTACCTTTAAATATATAAGAATGTTCTCAAATTTTCAGACATTAAATACTGATTATTCAGAGTGTGTGTGTGTGTGTGTATGTTTCCTTTTGGATAAGTAGCAATTCTCTCTGACCAGTTAGGAGGACAAACTCTACATTAGTGAATATCAAAAAGTTACAGATATTCAGTCTTGAATACATTCATAGAGTCAAACAGGAACTTTTGACACTTAAAATGCATTTCTCAGATAAAAATGAAGGCTCTTTCCCATCTGCCCCCACCCTCAAGCTTTCTTATTCAAGCTCTGATGTTTGTGTATCAAACTTTTCTTCATTAAAACACTTAATAAAGTTAACTCAAAATGTCACACCTTTTGAAAATTGTCTGTGCTAACAAGTAAGGCTTGTTCCAGTTCTCTCACTCTGAACTCTAGCCTTTCAATTTCTTCATTCCTCTCTTGTACATCTCTCTGAAGCTGTTCTTTTGATAGAAGCAGCTCACTGCACTTGTCTGTTTTTTCTTTTAGATCATTTGTTAACTGTTCAACCTGAAAATATATTAAACAAAAAAATCTAAAAATTTGAAAAGTTCATAACTTTTAATTCATCTCAAAAATCATTTTTTTCCAAAAAAACATTTTGAAATGCTATTATTAATTTCATTTTTTATAAGAATAGCAACTATTATCTCAAACAAAGGTTGATATTTCCCAAGTTGATAAGAACTAGGCAGCACTAGTAAACAACAAATATTGCTTTTGCTCAACCCTTTTTAGAAAAATTTCATTCTCTTAAGACTAACACTTTAGCTAGGAAGAGGGGAAAACCACATTTTGAATAATGTTGAATTATCTAGTAATGGTACAATCATACTAAGACCTATGACCTTAAAGATGGCAAATTTGTAGAGTACTTACTGACTTGCTCTCAGAATGTGAAGTAAGATAACCTGAAAAAAAATCTTTCATGAATTACCTTTTGATAATAGTTATTTACAAAGCACTTTCAACCTATACATTGCACCATCCCAGAATAGAGATGAGAATGGGTGGAAAGAGAGAGCTGTACATTTAGTGTCTTAATAGTTTCTCCTGCATCCAAAATAAATAATGACACATCTCACAACTTATCCCTGAAGACTGATATGCAAGTGCCTTCAATTCAATGGCTCTGTGATAGAAGAATACAGGAAGGATTAATAAGATAATTTATGAAATTAGTTCTGATCAAGAGGGAGAGGAGGTTCCTAAAAAGATAAGTGATGGTAAGAAATAAAAGAATACTACCTTTATTCAGTGAAATACTTGGAGGCAATTATACAAAATGACAATCATTATTCAGAACATTAAAAAAATGCAAGCTTAATTATAATTACAGGATTAAATTTTAACAGTAATAAAGCTACTGAGAATAATAGGTTGACTAAGTTTTGGATTACGTTCATGAGAAAAGGCTATAAAACAGGTACAATGAAATGGCATATTATAATATGTATTCACAGTTGGAATTTTTGGGTCTTCAGAAAATCAGAAGTTGGGATTAGTTCTGGCAGGGTAAGCAGAGAACAAATGGGTCACAATGTTCCTGAGGAAACTCAAACATACCTTAAAGTTTCATGAACTAGATGGGTCAACTTTCAAATATTTTTAAAAAAATTATATAGTAGAAAATGGCAGTCAAAGTTCTAGATTTTGAATTATCTTTTGAGTTTCAATGAATAAGTCACTGTTTTTCAAAAGCTAAAAATACATTTGTTAGAAATAAGGGCAATGACTACAAACAAGGGGAATGATGACTTCTCTGCTACTCTAGCAGATTTAACATTTCATTACAATGAACTTATAGGCATTTTATACTTCTTTGAGGTACTTTTAAGAGAAATGAATCAAGTAAACTTCTTAGAAATTGTAGATAATTTTCAGCAATAAAATTATTTTCAGAAATAATAGTAGTTGAATTTAAGTGTTAACTAAGGGCCACACTAATACTGCTATGCAGTGGGAGCTATTACTGTCTTTATTTTCGAAATGAATAAATAGATTTGAAAGGTTAAGTAGCTTAGTTACTGTCACACATCTACTACATAGCACAGCCATGATCCACACTGGGATTGCTTATCTCAAGCACAATCTCTTTATAACCAGGACAAGCCATCTTTAGAAATATATATAAGTGATATACGTATAAATATATATAATATTTCCCATGTAGCATTTGTTTAATAAATGTAGAGTTTTCTGTATGAGGAAAATGGACAGTGGGAGTGACAGGGTAGAAGCAGGGAGACTGGTCAGGAAGCTACCTCACACATATAGGCAAATAATATGACAACTAAGACACAGGGAAATGAATAAAGGTGAAAAGAATAAAAAGATGTAGTATAAATCTGATCCATTAGTGGTTTGGGATCAGGGCTGAGAAGGAGTGGGACTGAGGAAGAATTCTAGAACTTAGCAAAGAAGATGATTTAGAAGGCACAACATTTATTGAGATGAAGAAGGAATAATTTTATTCTTGTCTTTTTGATAAAGGCTAATCAGGAACCAAGAATATGATTCCTGGATATGTTAAAAATGAGACATCTATGTGGAGACAGAGTAGGCAGTTGAAAATTCAAGTACAGAGTTCAACAGTGATGTTAGGAATAAAGGAACAACTGTGGGGCAATTTACAGATGACTGGGAAGAAAATGTAAAAACGGAAGAACAAGGACTCTAAGACTAAGTCATGAGGCACCCCTCATTTATTTTGGGTAGGCAGAAGACAAATAAATACTGGAGGAGAGAGACCACACTCTACAGTAGGTGTGTCACAGCAGTCAAGAGAAGGAGATACTTATAGAAGACTGTAATGAGTGTCTCCAAATGGATGAGTAGTATTAAAGACAGAGAGGTGATTACTAGATACAGCCAAGAGGCTTTGGGTAACCTTCATAGGAACAGTTTAAATATACTAAGGGGTATAAAATTCCAAGAAAAAGATGTTGGAAACTTCATTGTAGTGGACTGTAAAAGAGAAGAGAAAGGGAAATAATTAGTAAAGAGTGACTACAGAGAATTATCAGTTTTGTTGGGATGGGAGTAGAGAATTAGGCAGAGAAGTTTATTTAATACTAGAAAATATATAAAGATGGAAATAATTCCAAATTTCTGTACAACATTTTTATGTTTTGTTTTTGATGGTGCTGGCATCAAATCCAGGGCTTCAGGTACGCTAGGCAAGTGTTCTACCATGAACTATAACCCCTAGTCCAATACAAACATTTTTTAGGGTTTATGACCTCCTCACATTTAAGTAACATTCAATGTCCTGATTTTTAAGATTTATACCTTATTCACTTTTAAGTTTTTCATAATGTAACTCTTACTTCACACTCAAGATACAAATAGGAAATACCAATAAAGTTCTTACCTCTCTAGTTTGATGTTCACCGACAGGCTGGATTCGAGGCACAACCTTAAGTTGTTGTTCTAACTTCTGTATTTCTTGTTGGAACAAATCTCTCTCGCGTTCTCTGTCAATGGCTTGCTCCTGAAATTGAACAATAATAAAAACAATAGTAATTGAAGAAACAATATTTATTAAACCTATTATCTTTCTTTAGTTATAGGTTGTTAAGTTTGTTTGAAAAGAAAGGACTGATGACCATGGAATCACAAAGATTCAAAAATATTTTTGGTATGACACATTACTTATTTGGGTTCTTCCACAAAATTTAAATACTTAAAATTTATTTGAAGTACATTTGTTTTCATTTAGGTAATGTTAAACTCAGAATGAAATAATTCTCCTCCATCAATGAATGTACTTGTACAATGGAGAAATTACACTGCTAACTCAGTCATTAAGCAAATAAACAAACTGTCTGGTACTTCTTAAAGTTCTGAAAATTTTTGTTTATTACAGTTTCTTATATCCTGCAGTTAGTCTGTCAAGATGTCTTAACACCTATATGAGATGGAGGCCTGACCTTATGACTGTTGCAGCTAAATGTGATTTTTTTTTTTAAAGAGAGAGTAAGAGAGAGAGAGAGAGATTTAATATTTATTTTTTAGTTATTGGCAGACACAACATCTTTGTATGTGGTGCTGAGGATCGAACCCGGGCTGCACGCATGGCAGGCGAGTGCGCTACCGCTTGAGCCACATCCCCAGCCCAAGCAGCTAAATGTGATTTTAATGAAACTCCAGCAGACGTAAAATCATCAATACCCTAGCTGTTCACACTTTATGAACTGGTGGATCCCACACCTAGCCTATGAGATACCTCTTAAAATACTCTTTCCCTGCTTCTTTTGCAAATTAGTTATTTTGATAATCATCCAATTTCTCTCATTTGAGGTAAAAACAAAACTGTGGGTAAGAAATAATTATTCATAAATAGCAGCATTTAAGTCAACATAAGAATTAACAACAAAGAAAGAAAAAAGAAAGAAGTAACTAAGGAGAAAAATAGACTCAAAGAGTAACAGATAAAGATGACCCAGAATGTGGCAAACAGTCTTTGTAATAATATATTAACTAGTGGCATACTACATTAATTGATATTCAGAAAGAATACAAAATAAAACAATAACAACAAAAAACTGCACAAAAAACAAAAACAAACAAAACACCATTGCTTTACCTACAATAGGTAATTCCTTGAAGAATGAAAGAATTGAAAACATAAATGTGTAATAAGTTGAGCAATAAAATACCTTTAAATTAAATGATATACTAATATTTCACCCCAGTTTTGGAAACACATAGAACTTATTTCCATTATCATAAAACAAAAATCTTTATAAGTAAGGTGTGTCCTCTTATGACTAGGAACATGGGTCATGGTAAGAAACTAACTACAAATTTAACTACTGTTAAAAATGAATGAAAAAAGACTCAAAAAGTAGTAAAGAAGAGTCTGGATGATGGCATATGGTGATTCTGACAATAAATCAAGTTATATTCAATTTTGCTTTTTCCTCTAGTTTAAAAGCATATAAACCTTTCTGCAACTAAAAACTTAAAATACAATGACTTCAATTTCTAGAAACACATTTAACTGTCCAGACTAGCTCCTTATCCTCGGGTTTCAGAAGATCATGACTTTACCATATACAGGAGGCTATTAATTGACAGCACTGAGCTACATTTCCCCAATGAAAAAGGTTTACATTAATCATATAATGTCAAGCCATTTAACCTTTTTTCCCTGTAAATTATTTCCTTCAAATTGTAAAACACTTCTGCTGCTGTCTTTCGGTCTTCACTTTACTTATTTCTCTAAATTATTTAATGGAGGGACTAACTCCTGCATACATTACCTGAACAATGCTAAGCACACTGGGGGCAATACTTGATGGCAAAATGTGTTTCAGTACTTACAATTATTATTAAAACAAAAAGCTTAGCCTGATCATTAATTCTCAGATTCCCCTTTGAGAAATTATAGAAGCATGTAGCTTGATTCCATTATTCTAAAAAATGAGAACTAGTAAACTCACAATAGTGCCTTATAATGAAAATCATTATGAGAGAATAAATTATTCATTAATTTCTTCCAAGGAATTGTTTTTTATTTGCATTAAGTTTTATCTTTTATTGACAAATAATGATTGAATATTTTGAGGTACAAAGTGATGTTTTCTTACATGCACTCACTGTGGAATAATCAAACACATCCATCACCTCAAATATTTATCATTTCTTTGTGGTTAAAATTCTCTCCTATAGCAATTTTGAAATATATGTTAACTATTATCACTATGCTGTGTAATAGAACACCAAAAATTATTTCTCCTCTCTGAAACTCTCCCCCCCACAAAGACTTCCTAAGAGAAATATTTTTTGGTAAATAATCTCCTTGGCTCTAAATAATAACCTCTGGATTCCATAAAACTTCAATTGTTGAAAGTTTAATTCCCGTAAAACAGACATTTCTATTTCCCCCTAACTGAAAAGTCAAGTGTCTTTGAACTGATTCTCAAAGATAATTTTTCTGCAGAATTGGAGAAAGACCACTAAATAAAGATTGTATTACAGAAATTATCTTTCTAAGGGCCTTAGAAGATTTTCTAAGCATGTTTCGTCACATTACGTTGAAAGCTATTCCAACAAATTGGAAAACTACCAAACTCCACTGAAATCGTTCCTGTTAAGTTTGCCAACAATCTCTGGATTTCAAAATTCATTTATCAGTTATAGTTATAATTAAAAACTAAAGAATAACTAAACAAAAATCTTAGTCTGCTCTTTAATCCTCAGATTCCCAGAAGGCAGAAGTAGTAGTGGTTAAGACCATGGATTCTGAAACTAAAGTACCTGGGTTCCCACTCTAACTCTCCTTAATTTATAAACCTGGGCAAATGACTTCTCTAACTGGTTTCTATGTTTGTGCTCTCCTTATACTTTCACCACCCTCTACCTACTCTATTCTATTTTTAAAGATAGTCAAAGTGTTTATTTTGGAAAATACAAGTTAGATTCTCTAACTATCTCAAGATGGAAACAATCTATATGTCTTTTAAACAGTAAATGGATAAACAAACTGCTGGAATTTCCCTCACTTATTAAAAAGGAACAAACTATTATTAGACATAACAATATAGATGATTCTTAAATGCACTTTATTAAGGTAATAAAGCCTGACATGATGCACGTTTTCATTTATGACACTTTGGAAAAAGCAAAACTGTAGAAAAGGAAAGCAGGCCAGTGTTTACCACAGGCAGGAGGTGAGAGAGTGGCTGACTATAAAAGAACAGTGCCTGGGAATGTTGGGGTGATGAAACATTATATCATGACTGTAAGTGATGTAGATGACTCTACACACCTGTCATAACTGAAAGAACTGTCCATAGAATGATTTTTTTCATATATTAATAAGAATTAGGAACTCAATGGAATAAAAAAAATCATAAATAAGTTATGACTGTTATAAATAAATATTCATGTATTATATTCATGTATTATATTCATATATATTTGAATATATATGTGAATGTGTTTGTGTGTGTATGTGTGTTTGTGTATTCATATATGAAAAAAACCACACCAACAGGGTGAGAGAGAAAAGAGTTAACCTAAGGTACTTGAAAAACAATATTTTGACTGTATATTATAAGGCTAAAAACAAAAAGTACTACACACAAATAATGTAGTCTAGTTAGAGAATTTGTTTTTCACAGGGGTGTAGGATAGCAATTCTGAAATTATATATGTGTATATTATGGTTGAGCAAACAAATAAAAATGCAATTGAACATGAGACTCTCCCTTTTTCACTGTTGGAGAACAAAGTTACTAAGAAAAAAAGGGCAGGGCAAAACAAATGCTGTGGTACCAGAACTGGAGGGCTCAGAATGAATTTATGGATTTTTAAATTATACATGTATACAGAGAGATTCAGATATAGATAGAAGGATTAGCATACAAAGATATATTTTTAAACTATCCACTAACAGGGCTTAGAAGTAATGACATCCTAGTAACAATGAGAAAGATCTTGGTTTCTAGATAGTATTTTCCAATAAAAGAAATATGAATTTCATGAAGAAGTGATTGATTCTAAAGTTAGGGTAGGAAAAATACAAGATGGGTTTGAAGCTTCTTGTAGTACCAATACTCAAAAAAGCAAGTACACTTCAAAAGGATGTACCTCAAATCAAAAAGTTCTTAATGCCAAAGCTGAAACAAAACCAAGTATTAGGTTACAACTAAAAGGATAAATTAGTCATGAGTCTATACTGATATTGATTAGAAGTGAAGATATAGCTCATACAGCTAAATAAATAAATAAAACAATGAGGAAAGTATAAAATTACCATTGGAACACCATAGTAATAATTACTGCATGCAAGATCCAACAATGGATGTAAGAATATTAGATGAAAGAAAGTTAAGGAGAAAAGGTTATTTGCATAGTATCAAAGTACCTCCTCCAAGATAGTTATTCATTACAAAGGGGAAAACATTACAGTTGAGAAACCCAGCAGATATCACAAGCAATGAAGATTAACATTACCTGTAATAATGACATATGGACTCACGTAACCAGGCATGAAGCACAAGATGGCCACAGCATTTTTTTGGTAGTATCAAAAATATACAGGCTTCATGTAATCACAACAAACATCAAACAAATCCAAACTGAGGAACATTCTAAAAAATAACTGACCAAAAGACTAAAGTATTGTCAGAGACTGGTGAAACCAAAGATGACATGACAACTAAGTACAATGTAGGATCTGGGAATGAATCTTGGAACAGAAAAACGTCATTATAGGAAAAACCAATGAAATCTAAATAGTTTATACTTTAGTTAACAGTACTGCAGCAATTTTAATTTCTTAGTTTTATAATTATATTACAGATATGCACTATGTTGATGTTAGGGAAAGCTGAATGAGTGGTTGGTACATGGAAACTCTCATAGTTTTAGAATTTTCTGTAAGCTTAAAGTTATTTTAGAATGAAAAGTTAAAAACTGTCCCCTATGACTCCAAATCTTATGAAGAGTTAAGGAGAGAAGAGGTCAGAGTATAATCTGGTT